ATATATATATATATATATATATATATATATATATATATATATATATATATATATATATATATATATCTTAATATGTACTTGTTTGCAAGAGAGTGCAGCTACATTTTTACATATCCATATTTACGTATTTACAATAATACAATGAGATATATAGGCGCCTACATGTACGTACGCTCCATATATCAGTAAAGCTCACCTAATATGTTTTGGCATGACAAACTTATTTTTGGTATCTGACAGTCTCCTAACTGACAAGGGAGTGTCTATAGTCAGAAGCAAGCCCTTGTACCCACTGCGTTCTGCTCTTCTCACGAGATGTTTCGTCATCTCGCGGTCCGGGGAGATGTACAGTTGGAACCAACGCAAACCATGGGGCGCGGCATTGGCAACGTCTTCCATACTATAGGTGGAGCCAGTGCTCAAGGCCATGCATGTTTTCATTGATGCTGCAGCTGAAATTATACTTCTAGAATATACTAACAGTGTTAGGAAACTAGATTTTAGATGCTATATTTACAAATGTAGTAGGGAACGGTTTTTGAAATGTTCTTAAAGGCTTTTGAAATGTCCGGGAATTTTGCCATATAAGGCGTGACGCTCTTCCTTTATTCAAGAATCTTCAGTTTTTGCTATATAAGGTGTGATGCTCTTTATATTTCCACGAATCCTCGATTTTCGATTTTCTGCCATAAAATGTGAGATAGTTATATGCCTTTAACCACTGTACAGTAGTCGTCAGGTTGGCCTCAGGAGGCGCTGCTCACCTATTTGACGCACTACGTTCACCTTGTCCTACTTACCTCTCGCTGTGGCAAGTTCGCCATCGGGGTGCACCAATTTGTGAAGCCCTGATGGTGATATGCAGATTGGGAAGTCAATTGGTTGGCCCTGGATGGTAGTGGACATGTCCCTGTTTGTGACATCTCTATGAAGAAAGCGCGGCCGCAGTCGGTACCTATGCGTTATACATGTAGATAAAGATAAAGACAGAGGATCATGCAGTTCGTGTCTAAGCAGGGATACAAGCCAAGGATCCATTTACAACGTCTCCAGAAGCAGCAGTTAATCATTTGTAACCGTGTGGCAACATACATATTCAATGCACAATGCCCAATATATACATGTAGCATTCAAGCGCACACAAAGTTTATGACTAATACTTTACTGCAGATAAGCTTCATACACAAAATCTTTAACAACTTACATACATAGCTCATATATACTGTTACAGTTGAGCAACTCATGCGTATAGGCAAGGCTGCAAAACGGTGATACTCTAGCACTCCCCCCAGCTCCTTTGGGATAACGTAACACTCCTGCTTGGAATATAATGTTAAAACTGTAACTGTTCCTAGTGGAACTATAAATATGGAAACCCCACATGATAAGCCCCCATACCCCCTTCTTAATGCCCTTCTTGATACCGTAATATGCCTGATAATACTCCCTGGTTTTACCTTTTAAACGCCGATCTGTTGTCAGCCAGTGTTTGCTCTTCGTTTGCGCCACTTCTGTAATACTCCAAGGTATGTTTATCGAGGTTGTCACAGGCATATTTTTCAAAGTCGTCCACGCATACAAGTTGCGTTGCGGCCATTTTGGAATTGCAGCACATGTGTCAACTGCACGTCTTGTAAAACCGTGGGTGATAAACGGCCGGGTCATGTGGAGTCGGCTGGGCAAAACAGCGCCATGCATTTATACATACNTTAGTAAAATTATTAACATATCAGCGTATAAACGTCTGTTCATCTTACCTGTCTCTATGCCTGCTTCTCCCGCCATATCTGGGTAGGCCGCCGCTTCAGGTTTTGAAAACGAGGCCAAAGCTAAAGTTCTCCAAAATAACCGTCATATGAGCCGGTGGCTCCCGGGCTGAAACTCTTTAACAACTTACATACATAGCTCATATATACATGTACTGTTACAGTTGAGCAACTCATGCGTATAGGCAAGGCTGCAAAACGGTGATACTCTAGCACTCCCCCCCCCCCCAGCTCCTTTGGGATAACGTAACACTCCTGCTTGGAATATAATGTTAAAACTGTAACTGTTCCTAGTGGAACTATAAATATGGAAACCCCACATGATAAGCCCCCATACCCCCTTCTTAATGCCCTTCTTGATACCGTAATATGCCTGATAATACTCCCTGGTTTTACCTTTTAAACGCCGATCTGTTGTCAGCCAGTGTTTGCTCTTCGTTTGCGCCACTTCTGTAATACTCCAAGGTATGTTTATCGAGGTTGTCACAGGCATATTTTTCAAAGTCGTCCACGCATACAAGTTGCGTTACGGCCATTTTGGAATTACAGCACATGTGTCAACTGCACGTCTTGTAAAACCGTGGGTGATAAACGGCCGGGTCATGTGGAGTCGGCTGGGCAGAACAGCGCCATGCATTTATACATACATTGGGATGCTATGTGACCATGTCGATACGCTAATCACTTAATTATGTCCATTTAGACAAGCTCTAGAGAAGATGGAGGGCAGCCTCGAACCGCTACCCAGAAATATTTCGCTTTACTCGACATTTCTATGTAATGGCCCACGACAAAAAAAAAAAAAAAAAAAAAAAAAAAAAAA